GGATGTTCTTAAACAAATAGTAAAACTCAAACCAAACAAATCCCCAGGGCCGGATGAAGTGTTTGCCAGGGTGCTTAAAGAATGCAAAGAGGAGCTTTGTGACCCACTGTCAACCATATTTAATAAATCAATAGAGTCAGGCAGAGTGCCAGAGTTTTGGAAAGTAGCTAATGTGATGCCAGTTTTTAAGAAAGGAGATAGATCACTTGCGTCTAACTATAGACCAATTAGCCTAACGTCTATTGTGGGAAAGTTACTCGAATCTATAATAGCAAATAAAATTCGTCTTCATCTTGAAAAACATAAATTAATAATTGAGTCGCAGCATGGTTTTGTAAATGGCCGTTCATGTTTAACAAATTTGTTATCTTTTTATTCTAGCATAGTTGAGGCAGTTGATAGTGGTAAGGATTGTGATGTTGTGTACCTTGACTTTAGTAAAGCTTTTGATACAGTGCCACATGAAAGACTGATTAAAAAGATAGAGTCTCATGGTATTGGGGGTGCTATATTAGGCTGGATTAGGGCATGGCTATACCAAAGGAAACAAAGAGTTAGTATAAATGGAATCAAGTCAGAGTGGGAAAATGTTGTAAGTGGAGTGCCTCAAGGCTCTGTCCTGGGACCTCTGTTGTTCATAATATATATAAATGATTTAGATTCAGGTTTGAGTAGCAACATTTGCAAATTTGCCGATGATACGAAAATCGGTAGGGAAATTAATTCGGCAACTGCAGAAGGCCTATTGCCCCATATGAGGCAGCTCCTATTTATAACCACCCAATCCCACTCATATACATGTCCAACCCGCGCTTGAAACAATCGAGGGACCCCACCTCCACAATGTTACGCGGCATTTGGTTCCACAAATCAACAACCCTGTTACTGAACCAGTATTTACCCAAGTCTTTCCTAAATCTAAACTTATCCAATTTATACCCATTGTTTCGTGTTCTGTCTTGTGTTGATACTTTTAATACTCTATTAATATCCCCTTTGTTATGTCCATTCATCCACTTGTAAACCTCTATCATGTCACCCCTAACTCTTCGCCTTTCCAGTGAATGCAACTTAAGCTTTGTTAATCTTTCTTCATATGAAAGATTTCTAATTTGGGGAATTAACTTAGTCATCCTACGCTGGACACGTTCAAGTGAATTTATATCCATTCTATAATTCTCTCTCTCTCTCTCTCTCTCTCTCTCTCTCTCTCTCTCTCTCTCTCTCTCTCTCTCCCCTTCTCTCCCCCCCCCCCCTCTCTCTCTCTCTCTCTCTCTCTCTCTCTCTCTCTCTCTCTCTCTCTCTCTCTCTCTCTCTCTCTCTCCCCCCTCCCTCTCTCTCTCTCTCTCTCTCTCTCTCTCTCTCTCTCTCTCTCTCTCTCCCCCTCTCTCTCCCCCCCTCTCTCTCCCCTCTCTCTCTCTCTCTCTCTCTCTCTCTCTCTCTCTCTCTCTCTCTCTCTCTCTCTCTCTCTCTCTCTCTCTCTCTCTCTCTCTCTCTCTGCTCTCTTTCGATCTGTCCCCTTTCTCTTTCTCTCTCTCCTCTATCTCTCCCCTCCTCTCTCTCTCTCTCTCCCTCCCTCCCTCCCCCCTCTATCTTCCCCCCCTCCTCTCTCTCTCTCTCTCTCCCTCTCCCTCTCCCTCTCTCTCTCTCTCTCTCTCTCTCTCTCTCTCTCTCTCTCTCTCTCTCTCTCTCTCTCTTCTCTGTCTCCCCCCCCCCTCTCTCTCTCTCTCTCTCTCTCTCTCTCTCTCTCTCTCTCTCTCTCTCTCTCTCTCCCTCCATCCCCTCTATCTTCCCCCCTCCGCTCTCTCTCTCTCTCACTCTCTCCTCCAACTCTCTCCTCTCACTCTCCTCCCCTCTTTCTCTCTATCTCACTCTGTCTACCTCATCTCTCCTCTCTCCTGTCTCTCTCCTCTTTGTCTCTCTCTCCTCTCTCGCTATCTCTCACTCTCTTATTCCTCGCTCAATATTTCTAAATGCAATAAAGATAATTATTCATAATAATTGCAATAATTAATCATTTGAATTAACGCTTTAAAGCTTTTGCTCCAAAACATTATATCATAACATTTATAATACGTTTTATTAAAACGTTATGACCTCATGTTTTATATTCGGCTTTACGAATTCTTAAAAGACGTATATTAAACGTAATTTAAAACGTGCACACAACAATGAAATGTCGTTTTTAGCACGTTTTGAAAACACTAAAATGTGTAGTGAGTAGTACTATCTAAATTGTTGTACACTTTCGAAGTACTGTCTAAAATGTTGTACTCCTTACTAGTGAGTTGTAAACCGTTGCACTCTTGCTTAGTGCTGACTAAACTGTTGCATTCCACCAAAGTTCTGTCTAAACTGTTGTACTGCTCACAAGAACTGTCTAAGCCATTGTACTCCTCCATAGTTCTGTCTAAATTGTTGTAGTCCTCCCTAGTCCTCTCCTAAACTTTTGTACACCTTCCTAGTACTCTCTAAACTATTGTACTTTTTACTAGTACTGTCTAAACCTCTGTACTTCTCACTAGTACTGTCTAAACTATTGTTTTCCTTAATAGCACTGTCTAAACTGTTATTCTCCTTATTAGTACTGTCTACACAGTTGTACTTATCACTAGTACTGCTTAAACTGTTGTACTCCTCCCTAGTACTCTCTAAACTGTTTTTCTCTCTACTAGTACTGTCTAAACTGTTGTACTCCTTACTAGTAGTGTCTGAACTGTTGTACTCCTTACTACTAGTGTCTAAACTGTTGTACTCCTTACTATTAGTGTCTGAACTGTTGTACTCCTTACTACTAGTGTCTAAACTGTTGTACTCCTTACTAGTAGTGTCTGAACTGTTGTACTCCTTACTACTAGTGTCTGAACTGTTGTACTCCTTACTATTAGTGTCTAAACTGTTGTACTCGTTACTAGTAATGTTTAAACTGAAGTACTCTTTACTAGTACCGTCTAAACTGATGTACTCTTTACTAGTACTGTCTAAACTGATGTACTCTTTACTAGTACCGTCTAAACTGATGTACTCTTTACTAGTACTGTCTAAACTGATGTACTCTTTACTAGTACTGTCTAAACTGATGTACTCTTTACTAGTACTGTCTAAACTGTTGTACTCTTTACTAGTACTGTCTAAACTGTTGTACTCTTTACTAGTACTGTCTAAACTGATGTACTCTTTACTAGTACTGTCTAAACTGTTGTACTCTTTACTAGTACTGTCTAAACTGTTGTACTCTTTACTAGTACTGTCTAAACTGTTGTACTCTTTACTAGTACTGTCTAAACTGTTGTACTCTTTACTAGTACCGTCTAAACTGATGTACTCTTTACTAGTACCGTCTAAACTGTTGTACTCTTTACTAGTACCGTCTAAACTGATGTACTCTTTACTAGTACTGTCTAAACTGTTGTACTCTTTATTAATACTGTCTAAACTGTTGTACTCTTTATTAATACTGTCTAAACTGATGTACTCTTTACTAGTTATGTCTAAACTGTTGTACTCTTTACTAGTACTGTCTAAACTGTTGTACTCTTTACTAGTACTGTCTAAACTGTTGTACTCTTTACTAGTACCGTCTAAACTGATGTACTCTTTACTAGTACCGTCTAAACTGTTGTACTCTTTACTAGTACCGTCTAAACTGATGTACTCTTTGCTAGTACTGTCTAAACTGATGTACTCTTTACTGGTACTGTCTAAACAGTTGTACTCTTTACTAGTACTGTCTAAACTGTTGTACTCTTTACTAGTACTGTCTAAACTGTTGTACTCTTTACTAGTACCGTCTAAACTGATGTACTCTTTACTAGTACTGTCTAAACTGATGTACTCTTTACTGGTACTGTCTAAACTGTTGTACTCTTTATTAATACTGTCTAAACTGTTGTACTCTTTATTAATACTGTCTAAACTGATGTACTCTTTACTAGTTCTGTCTAAACTGTTGTACTCTTTACTAGTACTGTCTAAACAGTTGTACTCCTTACTAGTACCGTCTAAACTGTGGTTCCCAATACAACCCGTCCTCTTACAAATTACGTCGCTTCCGTTCGCATGCTCACTCAGGCTAAAAATCGACGTAATTCAAAATTAAATAAGTTCAAGAAAGTGTGAATAACTGTTCCATTTTCTGTTGTAGGTTCTCTCTGTTGGTATTTGTTGGAATCCCCGCCCCCAATAACACCCTCCTCCCTACCACAACCCCCTCCTACCCCCTTCCGTCCCCTACCCTCTCCCGACCCCTACCCGCTCCTGTCCCCAAGATGCTGTCTTAAACACTCAAGTCTTGGTGTAAGACTGTAGGTCGTCTGTTACTCTAACATATTGAACTGTTAGTAAATCTTGAGGGAAGACATCCTCTTGGGTGTCTTCCCAACAAGAGGCTACAACGTCACCTTCTCAAGATGTCGACATCATTGTAAATACTGTATTGATCTGCTACATATGTAGTGCTTATCCTCCCTTACCTTCCTCCCCCACCACTCCCCTGATAATGTTCATTTCAAGCATCATAGTTCAGAGTAGAGAAGCGTAGACTGTAGCATATCACTTTCTTCCTATCACAACATTTCTACCTTTCACAATTTTGTCTTGCTCTACAGTCAGTTTGCACATTTGCGCCAGTCCCCTTCATTACTCCTTGTTTGAATATCGTTCCTAATTACAGTCAGCACCTTCTAAAACATTTCCGACCCTTCAAAACTTGCAAATAATTACGGTTTGCTGTTTATTTTGTTGATCAAAACATCCAGCGAGGCCGGCCACGTTCATGTGACCTGCGCTGGCCATTCTTCACGTGGGGACTGTGCACGTCTCATTCACCATTTACTATGGCAGTTTCTGCAGATTAAGATCTGGAGCCTTAGATAATCAGATTAAGATTATGAACCTAAAAAACTCATATGAAGATAGTAATGAGTAGGTTGATCAGCATGACGCCAACCTGTGATGAGGTAGAAGGATATGAAATAAAGACTAAAGGTCTCACAACTCACATGAAGATCGCAATGAGCAGATTAAGTAGCATGACGTTGCCGATGATGAGGTAGCATGAGAGCATGATGAGGACAATCCAAGTGTAGTTGTTAGGGTTCTCACACACACAGTCCAGCTCCGGCCTGCAGTTGGTCGTCCCATTGTCGCACAGCTCACCCATTATACACGAGTTCTGGTGACACACCACTCGATCCTCACCTGAAGCACAACCACCTTCATTACACAAACAACTATATTTATAACACAAAACAAAGTATATTTAGTACACCAAACTGAATTAATTTAATACTGTAGATAATATGTAATACATTTTATACAAGGAACGAATAGTTTTAATGCACGCCAATGCACACATATTATATAAACATAGAAACATAAGAATGATGGGAACTGGAGAAGGCCTATTTGGCCCATACGAGGTAGCTCCTATTTATATAAATTGGAAATTAAATAGATTGGAAAGTCCTGTGCATGTGGGGTGGGCCGGTCTTTGAGCGAGACATGAACTCAACGATGGGTGATGTAAATGGGAATTTCAACGTGGATTCAAAATATAACTTATTTAAAAACATTTTAAGCAAAGCACAGGAACACATTATACCCATACGAATTTAATAAATCGAATAATAATGATCTGAAAGGATAACAAAGGATCTGAAGAACCTTATAGGTAGAAAGAGAGCTTGGTATAAAATGATTAGGAATGAGGAAGTCAGTTTAGAACAAGAATTCGTCCAACTGGTTAAAAAATTTAAAAAAAGAGAAAAGGAGGTCAAAAAGAAACTATGAAGTTCGCATAGCAGGGCAAGCATAGACAAATCCTAAAAGTTTTTTTCAGTTATATCAAACAAAAATTAGGGAAAGGATAGGTTCATTAAAAGTTGAAAAAGGACAGATAACGGATAATAACGACGAGATGAATAGTATTTTTTAATAAATATTTTATCTCTGTAGTTACTAAAGAGGAACATTATGCCTTCAGCCAAACAAGTCTATGTGGGTGGGGAAGAGGATAAGTTGACTAGCTTAGCAGTTACCTGGGAAGATGTTATTAAATAAATAGTGAAATTAAAGCCAATCAAATCCCCAGGGCCAGACGAAGTGTTTGCCAGGGTGCTTAAAGAATGTAAAGAGGAGCTTTGCGAGCCATTGTCTGCCATATTTAATAATTCATTAGAGTCAGGTAGAGTGCTAGAGTCATTGAAGGTTGCTAATGTGGTACCAATTTTTAAGAAAGGAGATAGATCACTGGCGCCAGACTATTTGCCAATTAGCCTAACGTCTATTGTGGGAAAGTTACTTGAATCGATAATTGCAAATACAATTCGTCTTGATCTTGAAAAACATAAATTAATAAATGAGTCGCAAAATGGTTTTACAAATCGCCGTTCATGCTTAACAAATTTACTATAATTTTATTCTATCATAGTTGAGGCAGTTGATAGTGGTAAGGTTTGTGATGTTGTGTACCTTGACTTTAGCAAAGCTTCTGATTCAATGCCACATGAAAGGCTGATTAAAAAGATAGAGGCTCACGGTATTGGGGGTTCTATATTGGATAAGGGATAAGGGCATGGCTGTACTATAGGAAATAAAGAGTTAATATAAATGGTGTTAAATCAGAGTCGGAAAATATTTTAAGTGGAGTGCCTCAAGGCTCTTTCCTGGGACCTTTGTTATTCATAAAACACATATAAAGGATTTAGATTCAGGTTTGAGCAGCAGCATTTGCCAATTTGCCGTTGAAACAAAAATCGGGAGGGTAATAAACACGGAAAAAATTCACTATCACTTCAAGGCGATCAAAAAAGGGTTTTGAAATGGTAAAAAGTTTGGCAGATACAGTTTAATGCTGACAAATGAAAGGTTTTGAGGCTAGGTAATGATAATAGAGCTACAAGATACGAGCAAGATAGTGTTGAGATTGTTGGACTGTGGAAAGAATCTGGGAGTTATGACTAGTAAGAATTTAAAACCAAAAAATCAATGCATAAATGTTCGTAATAAGACAAATAGGACACTGGGATTTATTTATCGAAGCTTTAGTAACAAGACACCTGGTAGTGTACTTCAGCTATATCTTGCTCTTGTAAGGCCCCATTTAGATTATGCAGTTCAGTTTTTATCACCATACTATAGAATAGATAGAAATTCACAAGAACGCATCCAGTGTAGGATGACGAAGTTAATCCAGCAATTTAGAAACCTGTCATATGAAGAAAAATTTACAAAACTTAAATTACATAATCTGAAAAGGCGAAGAAATAGGGGTGACATGATAGAGGTGTACAAGTGGATGAATGGACATAACAAAGGGGATATTAATAGGTTATTAAAATTATCAAAAGAAGACAGAACACGAAACAATGGGTTATAAATTGGATATGTTTTGATTTACGAAAGATATGGGTAAATACTGGTTCGGTAACAGGGTTGTTGATTTGTGAAACCAATTACCACATAACATAATAAATGTTATGTTGATTCTCCCCTTGTCAACAATAACAAACCATCTCAGCTGGCTGGTGCGTCGAGATCGTCACGGGCCATGCAACAATTATGCAGCCGTATGGATCAACTTAAACGAGCTGCTGCCCCTTGTTCCGATTTCAAGCGTTTTGCTGATAACCCATGGCTCATGTTATTAACCAAAAACATGAAGACCAACTGTCAGTAATCCTTCAGCAATCGGACTTAATAATTAACCCGCGAAGTGAAGCTTCAGCAATGCTCAAGATTAATCAAGATCTGTCTGCCAGAGTCGATTTCCTCCAACTAGAATTAAACTCTCTCAAGTCCACAGTTACTGACTTTAAACCAGCAGGAACCACTAGAAAACAGGAAGCACAACAGTTTGAAAACCATCTTAACACCCTACAACAGCAACACACTATTACCCAAGACGAATCGGACCAACATAAACTCCTTGATTCTGTCGATATCTCTTCACGTGATTTTCCCCAAGAATCTGAAGAAGACTGTGCTGCCATCGTAATCCATGTATTGCAGGATAAGATAAGGTATTGAATCAAAACAAGTGACATTAAATCAGCTTATAGATTGGGGATCAAATCACCTGGTTTGGTGACATAACAGGAAAATTCGAGTTAAACTAGATAGCTGCTCCCGCAAGTCAGACCTTATCGAATCTTCAGTCTCTAGTAAATCTACTGTTTATGTGAATGAATATCTGACCAGGTTCAGACAAAATCTCTTACTTAAACTGCGTGGTTTCTGCAAAAAATCCCTTGTAATTAAACATTATTTTGTGCGAGATGGTAAAATTATAACTAGGAGGACTGACACAGGAAAAACTTATTTAATAACCCACTGAAGCTCACCTCAATTCTTTCCTGAATGACTGTGGGATGAGCGCTGAATAACCAGAATTCAAACAATAATCTCATTTAACTACGAATGTGTACTGCCTTTCCTTTCAAAAGGTTTTAACTTTATTTTAAAAAATTGCCATCTCTATTATTTTCTCTTTTTTTCTTTTTTACTTCCTTTGTTCCATTGTACACTGACTTTGCCTATGTCCTTCAGTATAAACTTTATCATCCAGTATACCTGAGTGTATCTCTATTTAATCTTCCTCATTTTGTTTTAGTGTTTTAGTGTAACTTTAGTATTCAACTATAGTGTACTTATAATATTATAGTTAGTAAGCTATTTGTTTTATAGATTTCTAATTGATTTTTTACTTTTATTGGTCATCTATTGTTATTAATTATTCCAGCTCATTTTTACTTTTCTTTAGTTCCCATTAAGTTTTTATTACTTAAATTACCATTAAGTTTATATTACTTTAGCATTTTTGTTCTACTTTTCATGTAACCCAGGTTGCCAACCACCCTTGCTCCATTGTCCTCTTGGCTTTGCCTGTGCAGTTTTGATCATTAGTGCAAATTATTACCTTCAGTGTACCTGAAAGAATCTTTAAGCAATCTCATTTTTGTGTATAGTTTCATATATTCTTTTTGTTCATAGCTAGTTCTTTTATAATTGTCTTTTTTGGATTTTCTGTAAAACAGCCCTCTTATGCAACTATTATAGACCCAGACCTTAACCTTTTATCTAGTATCTATGACAATCATCACTTTAATGATCAAAATTGCAGGTATTATACAGCACATGATGTAAAAAATGTTTTAGCGTGTAATCACAATGTTTCTATAATTAACTTGAATGTAGGATCTCTAAGCAAACACTTTGATGATGTTAATGCCCTGATTCAAACAGTTGACAACAAATTCTCTTATGTTGTATTTACTGAAACGTGGTTAAAAGAGAACACTACTCAACTCTACAACATACCTAACTACTCAGCTATTCACAACTTTCGTCCTATACAAAGAGGTGGTGATACTTCTCTTTACTACCACAAAGAACTGACTTGCATAAAAGTAATTAAATCTAGAGACCCTAATGGAGAGTATATATTTGCCTGTTTCAGAGTCAAGGAAAACGATGCTGTTCTGACTGTGAGAGCAGTCTACAGAATTCCTAACACTAATGTGACTGAATTTAACTCTAACCTTAGAAATCTTATACTAGAGAACAGACTGAACAAAAACCACTTAATTATTTCTGGGGACTTTAACGTTGACCTCTGCGAGCCTGATAACCCTCCTGCTGCTAGTTTCCTCAACTGTATGAATTCCTGCTTCCTCATACCCTTAATCACTAGACCTACTAGAATCTCTGATAGTACTTTCACGGCTCTTGATTACATCTAAACCAACATAACCTCTCCGCTTTCTTCAGGGATAATCATCGATAGCACTACAGACCATAACCCCACATTTCTCCTAATCAACATTAACATAAAGTTTTAAATGGAGGTGGGGATTCCTCCGTTTTCCCGGTTTATTTTTCACTTCTGTTTTAGTGCACTGGTTTTAGTCTTGGTTTAATAATATTATCTTGTAACAGATGTAGATGCAGAATGCTCACTAGTGAGTCCCATTCTTTAACGTCTTTTCTAATCATTGTAGTCACGGTGGAATGTGCATCTAATGCAGCTGCTGTCGTTGGATAAATGTTGAGTTTGATGTGCAAGGCTTCAGTAGCTTCACATTCCAGTAAGTAGTGCAATAGTGGCGCCTCTGCTTCTGTTCCACAGATATGACACTCTAACTATTGGGTTCAATACCTCCAAGAAGCACTTGTAACCAAGTTTGAGTCTGTGTATGGCT